GTGGATATGGTTTCTTTCAGACAAAACAAGTCTATAAATACGACTCTCTAAAATTTCAGTTGAATCGGTGCAGTAGAATTTTAGAAATCATGGGAATCGTTTTCAGAAGGGTGTTTAGAGTTTCACGAATAGTTTGGATGCCGGGTCAGCAAATACCCTCATGCATTATGACAAGAAAGTATCCAGCAGTTATAAATAAAACGCAAAATATTAAATTATTCATCGACATTTATTTGATCGGCTTGGATTACTTCGAAGGAAATGTGAATGAACAAAATTCACCTTTCAATTTGATCACAGTAGTTAATTTTTTTTAACTTTTTTTATATTTCCATCAGTTCAAGTGGTCGAACAAAACGTAGTATGTCTTCAATGATCTCTGGACTGCCTTTGAGCTATGAAAAACTCACCGCATAACTAATCTTTTGTGAGCAATAAAAAAAGTTATAAAATAACTAGCATTTTATAAGCGAAAAAAAACTAGTACATCATATACATATGTACATATATCTGACTCTTCATTGATAATGCTTTTTTTAATCAAAAATTATGTCATAACTGTTATTTGCTGTCCCTGACCTCTTCCTAGATTAGTATACCCCGTTAAGGGGCTATATTCGCTTGAGAATTTCTGTATATTTGAAAATATTCTCTGAATTGAACCTCTCCCGGCAAATAGCTTCGTTGTCTCGACGACTTTCTTATGCCTTCCTGGTAGATATAACCTTTGTTTGAGTAGTTTAAAATGTTGAAATACACACGCCAAACTTAGGTCTCTTCAGCAAATATATTAAATTTGTTCTATAATCTTGAAATACAAAACTCACTGTACTTGTTATTTTGGCTGTATGTGTACATTTGAATACTTAGGCACTTACGTATGTATGTGTGTACGCATGCTTTGATGGCGCGGCGAGCCGTTAAATGTGTTACGAGCCGAAAGTTTGCTTCCAATTTTTAATTTATGTCTTCTTTCGCTATACTCTCAAGAGTTCACGTGTGACAATGTTTTCAATGAAATTAGTTAAATGTTCGCAATTACCAAAAGGTATCTCATTTTTATACCTACAATATAATGTATATTATATAACCCTTTTCATATACATATGTTTCTATGTGCATTATTATCTACATATGTATGTTACGTTATGATACCTATGTTAAATAATTGTGCACAATGTTTGTATGCGTCCGTTCAATAAAAACGATACTAGTGATATGAGTAACTTTTAGTGTTGACAGCACATTTTTGTTGTTCTAAAGCACTACTTAACGCGTGTTCTACAGAAAATCACACATTTTAATTTATTCGTGTTCGCTTACACACCTACATATGTACATATTTATTTATCATACGGCGCGTGCTGCTAACCGAATCACCAACTATATATATTTATACTAAATTCCTAAGAAAGTGAATACTTTCTGCTGTAGCAAATTCAGAAATAATCTATTAATTTTCGTTTTTACTTTAGTCATGCCTCTAATTTAAACTGACTCAGTGATGGTCAATATTTCCACGCAGCAATTCCGTTTTGTTAACCCCATTCGGCGTTGTTATTTTCCAGATTTTAACTACCATTTCTTTTCGATTCACCTTTGGAGTGCTGTCGTCGGCATTGTCCGATTTGGTATGCGCTTTGATTAGCATTTATTTTGTTTGCGCTTTACGTCCGTAACACTTTGTCCAAATGCAGGTTTTGGCGCGACTACGTTCATACTACATGTATAAATATATACAAATGTCTGGGCACATTTTTCAATATATCTATGTAGGTATATGTGTATGTATATGAACAATTCTTTTGTATTGCTAACACGCATAATTACTCAATGGATTTCCTCGATTTTCATTTTTCCTGGTAGGAGTCAATATATCACCTTTTTCTGTTAAAATTAATTTTTGTTTTAGGTGAATGTGTTAGGTTTTTTTTATATAAATACTTAATTATAAAAACAAATCATCCCCTGTCGACCACAATCTGACTTCTGCCTTCGCTGTCATTTTACTATTATGAACTGAAGCTTGGCTAGGTGGACTGCTGAAGAACTAACAGCAGCTCTTTTGACATTTCTCTTCAGATTTGCTATTTCATTATATGCAAAGAGTCGAAATTATTAAAATTAGAGTTAGCGGCCGCAACTTTGAGAGCGCTACGTTCTATTTATGGTCGTCATAACCGTCCTGTCAGATCAACAATTGAGCGTCTAGTAGAAAAATTTAAATCCACAGGCACAGTACGAAATATTCCCATGTCAGTGAAACAAAGAAGTGCCCCTAGTGTCGAGAGTGCTGCTGCCGTTACTGCTGCTGCTGCCGTTACCGCATCAATTGAGCAAGATCCAAATCAGTTTATCACACGTCGTTCTTAAGCGTTGGGTATCTCTGTGACGTCATTGTGGCGAATTGTGTGAAAGGATCTTGGCCTACATCGTAACAAGATCAAATTGACGCAAGAGCAGAAGCCGCATGACCACCAGAATCGTTCGTGAATTTGGCGTCATTTGGCAGTACTTCTTCCGTGATGATCAAGACCGGCACGTTACTGTGAATGGGAATCGCTACCGCTTAATGCTAACCGAATATTTTTGGACCGAATTGGATGATTTACGTGGCTGGTCCCAAACCTATTTCTTACCACTTCCAAGTGAATGGCGCTCAGAGAACTTTCCTAGCTATCTTTAACTTCTACACATGACTACATCCTTTGCCGATAATTAGATTTCCTAATTCAGTTCCCCCCCAACAAATAAACGCTCATACTAATTTTAACAAAAAAATTTAAGACACCTTAATTTTGGCTGTACCTTCAAGATACTATACAAGAACTTGCTATTAGTCTGTCAGCTTTATGTTATAGTAATGCTATCTGTACAATTTATTGTAAGATCGTGACATTATCTTGGACAATTATTCATTCCGTGAAGTTATGTGGTCAAAGAATTTCTATATAAGCGGATTCCAGGAGAGAAAAGAACACGTTCAAAATTTCAGTTCGGTATATCAAAATGTGGCATTATATACAGACAGACAGACATACGAACAGACACGGATGAATCGACTTAGCTCGACACACTGATCATTTATGCTTTCTTCTTTTTGTTATAAACGTCGTTCCAAACTATACCCCGTTCAGGGTATAAAAAACATAAAAAACATGCTTTTATAAAATACAATAAAGTGTAAATATACTTATCAACTCTGCAAACAGTTGTTCGCTGAAGCATTGGTGTTTTCCCCGCTTATTGTTGTGCAACTTAAGTGCCCCTCGAAATTCCATTTTCAAAGCGTACTATATGTAAACTATTGAGTGTGGTTAAGTTTATTACTGTCAGTAACAACATTTATGTTTATACATATATATAAATGTGAATGTATTTATATATATGTATGTGTGTGTGTAAATGCGGTGAATTGTATGAAGTTTTTAATTTCCATAAATTAATCTCAATTACTTAACACTAGTAAATTTCACTATACAAATGCAGAGAACGCGTGCTACCCAAGTTAGCAAATAGTTATCTTAATAGCGTTATTTTTTATTTGATAATAACTAACCCATTAATTTATAGGTTTTTAATTTACCTTATACATTTCTTTTTACATAGTTGAGAGTGAGAGAACGCGCCTCTCTTAAATTTTGTTCCATTTTCTAATTGTTATAGAGCTTAGGTGCAATAGGGCAGTAATAACATAGCTATTGATGCCCTACAGCCAGCAATTTGAAAGTTGGAAATATAGTTGCCAATTTTAAAATGTCAAAAAAAAAAGAATTATAAATTTGTTTTGTTGAATAAATAGATTTTTTGTTCTAATTATCTTGGGCTTAAACATAAACAAAGCAAAAGCCAAGACCTTATAATATTTTATATATATAAGTAAAAATCTGCTCATCGAAGTGTTGTCTCAATAAATCCATTGATTGATGTGGTTAGGGAAGTGGCACCATCTTATTGAAATCAAGTGTCGGCGAGATCACGACTTTTACGTTCTCACCGAAATCATTTTTGAAGAAATATGGACCGAAGATTCTATTAGCCTACAAACCACACCAAACCATTGTTTATTTCTGAATGAATTGCCAGCACTTGAATCTCCTCAGGTTGCTTCGTTCGTTCCAACTGCGAAAATTTTGCTTGCTTACATATCCATTGCACCAGAAATCGCTGAACAAAAATTGTCTCGAAAACGTCGGATCTTCTTGGAACCATTCAATAGCCCGCAAGTCGTAGCGATGTCGCTTAGAAAGGTTGAGCGGCTTCAGAGGTCTTGAATATGCTGTATTTTGTACGCTTTCACTCTCAGCAACGGTTTTTTTTTATTTTATTCATTGCATGCTGGATGTGGTCTATTCGGCCGAATATTATCCAATAATGGATGCTGGGTCTCATGATGTGTGATGGTGTTACGAATAGTATGCTCAGTAGGCCGATTATGCGGACCATAAGTTGAGTGAAACACATTCTTTACAGAACGTGAATTTCCGTAATAAAGTAGAACGATTCATCATGAAATGGCAAACAATACTGAACAAAAATAACATGACCGCTTGACTTGGCGTGATCTGTCAAAAAAGGCTATTGAAAAAAGTATTTCTACATAGATCACCCGTTATTATTGATTAGCAGTTGTTTTAATTGCATTTCCATCTGTATAGGCATGAAGCCAACTTAACTAACTCATTACCAACTAAAGCGAATATTTCTGCTTACTTATGTACATATATACCCAGCGGGATATGGTAGACATTGCTAAGCGAGCAAGGTAAACGATGCAACATGATTGTATCGCTTACGCCGACCGATGAAAATTAACACGGCGAGGTCCTATGAAAAGTAACAGATCATCCCTTTGGCTTACCATTGGAACGAAGAATTCATTGATGCCAAGGTCAATAGTAGAATAGAAAAAATTGCAATTATTTTGCTTTATTTATGAAAATACATGTATGAAATTCGTTATGAAAATAAGTATTTATGTATAAAAGGTAATGGTTTTCTTTAAATTTTGTGGCTGAGTCCCTTAGTTTTCCAAGCAATGAGACTTAAAAAAGGGCCATTGGCGAGTCTGTTGTTTTTTTTGAGCTTGGTGGACACATCCGATTCGGTGAAGCCTTCTACTTTTACACATTCTACAAAAAAAGATGAAACCGTATGTAATCATAAATTTCCATCAATGATAAAAATACGAAAAACTTACCAAAAAGTAACGCATTAAAGTTCACCTTCTTCATTTTTAATTAGTCTTCGCATATGCCTTTTCGAGAATATTAATATTATTTTATTATTCAAAGTTTAAACGCAAAATTAAACAAAATTTTTAATTAAAATAGCAGCTCACCTAGCAACAACCAACTTTGTGCAAATTTTCTTCAAATGCTTGACGATTTGATAATCAAAATATTTACTTATAAATTTTATTTCATCAACTTGTAATTGTTGTTTACATATTGTATTGTAACGTTTTTCATGTACCTTCTTTATTGTAAATATGAACGAAGTAGAATTTAACCGCATAGCTTACTTTTATGCATCCTAGTATCGAAGAATTCTACATAGAACTTTCTTCGGAGTATTCTTCAAAGAAAAATGTAAGCGGTGAACAATTATTCCGCTGGGTATTGTTTGTTGATTCAAGAGTACGTAAGAGATGCCGCCTAAGAGTAGGTGCGTGCTCTTGGCGAAAGATAGGAAAAGCTCTCTCAATTAGTATCGGCCTTGTGCGCCTCATAACATTGAGTTTGCACAGGGAATACCCTCAGTTGACGATGTTTATTCGGAAAATGCAGTTCACTTACCAGCAGACCGGCTGAGCGCTTCACACTTTACTTAATAAAATTTGTATTTATTTACAATTTTTTTTTTTTTGTGTTTGCGCCATATAATTAATAATATTTGGTGTTATTGTGTTATGTAGTGGCTTGACGGGCACTACACTCTACAGCTCGCGCCACCGCCCGCCGTATGTATTTTGGACTTGAATTTGCAGATCACAGTCGCTGTGCCTATCGGCTGAGTGTGTCACACACATACACACTTCGCGGTGCCGACACTGGTATGTGTGAAGTTGAATTTAGTGACGTTACGTGCGATGAGCAGTGTTGATTTACGCCGTAACAGTGTAACGCGGCTGCAACTGTCAAAGGAATACGGTTCAGTGACAATTGACACTTTGTTTTTTATTTATTTACGCATACAAGTTTTCGCATGTATGACAATTTTCCGCTGCTCTCTTGTGTAGCGTAAATAGGTCTCCGCAAAGTCTAAAAAATGCAAAATTAAAAATAAAAGTATTCACTTATATATGTATAAAGTGTGTCGCTGAGCGCTACGTTTGAGTGTCCGGTGTATTAAATGCGACCCCTCACAGCGGTCGTGTGCTCGCTCGTGTGAATCGTGTGATATTTAGCAAAAATAATAAAAAAAATATATATAGTATAATTAAAATTAATAAAATTTGCACGATCCTCCAGCCAGCAGGAGGACTGATACTGTTACCACAGCACATATTGCCCTAAGAACTATGCATTGAACCAACGTGGCGCGATTTAATGCTCGACCTCTTGTGTAAAATTAATTATAAATATTATTAATGTTTGATAAGTATTTCGCGAGCACCAGATGTATGGGCATTGCTGTTCGCTTTTCGGATACGCCGGCAACTTTGATGTTCACGCGATGCCATTAACAGTGGTGCGGAGGTGTCAACGCTGTGAGGTAGAGCAGCGGTAACTATTGTAAATACCATGTGATTGTGCAGTGAACGAAATAACACAAGAGAACGCTTATATTTCACCCTTTCGCTTGGAAAGAATTGAATTACATGTCTGTGTGAATAAATTCCGTGCACCACATACTTACATACACGTATATATGTATGTATGCGCGCGTGAAATTTGAATGGGCATTCGTAGTTTGCGTACCTAGATGCATTTGAGCATATACAATGCAATACAATGTAATGCATATATGTATATAGTATATAGTATAGTATATTGTACTTATTCAATGTTGTGTTCGGTCGGCACTTTTCGTTCCAGTGCTGTTAGTGTTTAACTAAATCGTATAAAGTGGGCAGTAAATCCACATTTGATTTTGATTTCAATCAAAGAGAAAATTGCGAAATTAAAATACAACAACAACAATTAGCGCGTTGTGAACGTTTTGCTTATATTTTGCTGTTTTATAGGCGAATACAAGATACATTGACAACAGAATGAGACGTAAAAAGTAAGTTTTGTATTCTTACATATCGTCACTTAAAATGCAAACTTACGTATCACAAAAAAAAAAAAAAAGAATTGAAAATCATTGTCAGATGCAATAACCAATATACATATAACAATTTATAACGAAAACTCTAATTTTGTTTCAATATGAGTGTATGATAACCAGTATATAACTATTTTATAACCAAAACTCAAATTTTGTTTCAATATTAGTACAAGTGATGTTATGTTATTTTGCAATTTAGGGGATATTACATGTGCGTGCATAAGTATTCGTAGTACTGTATTTAACTGGGAAAGAGTCGCTTTATGTTCGGTTGAAAGCGCAAATATGTAAAATTGAGAGAAAATTGCTTTATAAATTTTTTTTTGTACTTTCGAAAACTTAATAGTGTTGCTCTTGCTTTGTGATTTTATTTTTTATTTTAAGAACTATGCACTAGAAAATGTACATTTTATCCAGTTAATTGTTAAATAAGTTAACATAAATTCGGGGGTTTACATTACTTACAAGTGTGAAGTATTTGAAAAATAGGTTTATGGCGGGAAGGAAAAAGATGTTTATGGGTATGTGCTAAGTTTAGATTATGTAAAATCTAAAACACATAGCGGATTTTTACGTGAAGTTGATTTCAATTCCGCGATTAAAAGTTTTGATATTTTTTTTGAATAGAGACAATTTTTATCTACGCTATATAAGAGAAGAAGAAAAAGAAGATACTATTTAAAGTTTTATTTTTTCAAATGATGTTTTTTTATTGATATGTGGCTCTTTTACATTCTTTTGTCATCATGAGCATCCAATAGCATTTAAACATTGTTGGAACTACTTGTACTTTGACTTCTTAGCGCGGTATTTGTGGAATTCAAACGGTTGATATTTTAGAATTAATATTAATAAGTTTTCGATTAGATTTGATGAGTTTGGGTAAATTTTTGAATAGCATCCCCCGATTTCGGGATTAAAATGGGTATTCACGAATGGAGTAGGTCCTCCAAATCAAGAAAATATGTACTATATGTATATATATGTAGTTGCCGCTGACTTATGGCTTTTGAGATATTTGAATTTAAAGTTCAATAACTCCACCCATACCTATACCCGTTTTAACCCTTTAATCGGGTGATGGCATTCTAAGTCCCAGCCATGAGTTTTATTTAAAATTCCTTGATTATGGTGTAATATTTTGAAACTTTGACTTCAAAAAAAGTGCGATGTTTACATTTTTGACTATTTAACTATATAATTGTTTATTCTAAACATACCATATGCTTTTTATTACCCCTTAACGAATGAAAATATGTATGACATTTTATGTATAACAGCAAGAAAGCATATTAACTCCGGTTACACCGAAGCTCTGAAGCGTATTTCAAATAAAAAAGTTTCCATAAAAGCATTTGAGATTATTTTGCTGCCTTGGACATGAATTCATGCCACATTTCACGAAGATATCTTGTAATATGAAAAAATTTTCTTACAAGAACGTGAGTTTTACCGATGAGTTTGTATGACAACTATGTACATATATCCAAAATTAGTCCGGTCTGTACAAGTTTTTCGGAGATAGTACCGTTATCTTGGACAATAATTAATGTCCGATTTCGGGATGATATCCCGACAAACAAACAAGTTTTCCATACATATGTAGATTTGATTTTGATCGATCAGTTTGTATGACAGCTATATGCTATAGTACTTCGATCTGAACTATTTGCTCTGCGATAGTACCGTTGTCTTAGACAATTGTAAATGTCGAATTTCGTGAAGATATCTTATTAAATAAAAAAGTTTCCCATACCTGGACTTGATTTTGATCGATCAGTTTATATGATAGAGTACTTCGACCTGAACTATTCGCTCGGAGTTTGTGGGCTTGGGCAATTGTCAGTGCCGAATTCAGTGAAGATATCTCTTCAAATAAAGAATTTCTCCATACAAGTACTTGGTTTTGAGCGGCGATTCCTACAAATTACCAACTTCTTGAGGAGAAAAGGGCTTTATAGGTTTCCGACGTTTTCTTTTGAATCTCGCAAACTTCGTGGAAAACTGTTCAGTACCCTACGTCCTACGTAGTTACATTTTTGTCATTCGTCAGTTTGGAAAGACGTACAAATAAATTTCGCATCAGGTGAAATGCTCAAAAGAAAATGTTTTCAATGCCCTTAAGCATATAAAGAATTTTGAAACTATTTCCAACGTTGCACACGAAGAAAAAACCCGAAAAACTTCAACAGAAATAGATTACTACCATCTCCCGAGGAGACCCAAAAAAGTGATGGCATGGTGGAGGATTAATCATGGTGTGCGAATTTTTTTCCTGGAGTGGTGTAGGTCCGCTCCATACGACTGATGGAATTTTAAATAAGGAGAAATACGTCGACATTCTGAAAAATGTCATTCTGCCATGGACTAAGGACAATTTGCCTGTTATATGAAAATTCCAACAAAATAACAATCCAAAGCACATGGCAAAGTCAACACAAAAGTTTTTTGTTGTGAACTCCATGAATGTTTTGGAATGGCCTGAAGAGAACACATTTCTGTTGATGTCAAAAAAGCTGTAGGTACCAAAAATATCACAAATATGGATGTCCTTTTTGATGAAATTAGGACGGCATGGCAAGCAACACTAGTGGTGTGCTGCCAGAGTCTTATAATGTCAATTCGCAGTGGATGTGAAACAGTATTAAAGTAAAAGGGTTAAACAACAAAATACTAACTGAAAGTAAGCAATATTTTTTAATAGCAGTATTTTTTGTTGATAAAAATTTTTCGTTTCGAATCGGTTGTCGCACTCAAATCGTTCATTCCACACATTTTTATTAAAATCTTCAAAAAAAAAAAAAAGATTTTTACTTAAAATTTTTACCATCAGTTTAACGTAAGTTTCCATAAAATTAGTGCAAAAACGGTGAAAATAAGTGATTTATTCGAAAATAATTCCATTTACTTCAAAGTAAGTTGCGTTTCTAATTAGGTGTCAACGGCTGTATGTGCTTTCTCGCACGTTGTTGTGTTAATTAATTAATTTCTTCTAATTAATCAATTCTTAGAAAATTAATTCCTTTCAAGGATATTGATTTTGAGTTCAGCTCTTTTTAGTCAATGTGCGTTAATTACTTAATTGATAATTATGAGCCATTTCACCCCATCAAGGTATAACTTGTCCATATTCATTATCTTTTCAAGATCAAATTGATTCAATTTGTTTACTCAATGTAATTGAATTAATAGTAACATTATTATCGAGCTGTTACATGTATCTATTTTGTTTGCACATTTTATTGGGCTGGTAAGCCTTGGCGCAAACTTGAGAAGGGTGATAATAATTATTTAATTTGCTCCCCTTAGCAAAATTATGATCTTTATATATATATAAAAAATATTACATTTAAAAACAATGACTTACTTACTCACTTTCTGATAAGAATTGAAAATGCTCAATAAAAACCCTTGAGGAGGAAGCAGCAATAACGAATAACTGTAATAAAAAGATGATTCAGATCATTATAAAATGAGGTGTTTTTTTTTCTGGGGGATTTAACTTTCATTGATAATATAACAAAGTAAAATGAAAAAGTCAACGTTTTGCTGTTTTTGGTTAGCCAATTTATGTTTGTTATGTCCGCTCGTCCATGTGACACTTCTATGACGTGAAGGTTTTATGATTGCTGTGGTGATGTAATATTTCATAGATTGTGATTTATGCTTATTTTTGGACGCTACTTCTTTAAATAACTTGCTGATGAAACATTATGCTAGACCAATGAAATGTACATAAGTAAATATGTATGTACATATATACCTACATGATGTAACACGCATAATATTTGCATTTAGTTAATATATATAGTACATATGTATGTATATACCCCTTGAAATCCATGATAGCGTGCCATAATTTCTCATTTGTCAATCAAAACTGTCAATTAGTCTTTTATAAGCAATATTGCTGTATAATTATAGGCGTGACGACCAGGTAGATATAGATATACAAATGCACATAAGTATGCAGCTAAACGGTGATACGCTTAGATTATAACGCTTATCAGTAATAATTTGAGACCGGAACACTGCTTTGCGATAAGATAAACGCTGAAGCATCAAGCAATTACACCAATTATAGGGGCTTCTGTGCGCTCCATATGCAAATTGGAAGTGATTTATTTTTATAAATAATGCGCACGACTTGTGAAATTTATATTTGAAGGCATAGGCATAGAAGCGAATATCTATTGAGTTTTGAATATCCAAATTTTTTTCCAGTAATGAGCGGTATCGAAGTTGATGGTGGTTCAGCTTTAGTGAGTGCACGAACCCAAAGCGGTAGCCATGTGTTGAACCCTTCAGATTTAGAGTTTCTGCAGGCGAACAGACTTTATGAGAAACATTGTCTGCTCAGAAATATTGTTGGATAAGAGTATTTAGCAGCTAAAAGCTGTCAGGTGGTTGGCATTCATGAGAGGCTTACCTTCACAGAAATACCTCGAAGAAAGTTTTTTTTTATATAATTTTTGTATGAGAGAGATTTATAAAAGGAACATATAATTAATTTCTAGGGGTACTTTTATGTGTTTATTTCTTATATTTGCTTTAAGAATCGAAAGTTTTTTTTTTGTATATATGCGAGCTCCTTATCTATTTTGAGTTTTCTTCATAATTATTTGTCACGGAAATAATGCATTTCTTCCGCTTTCCAGTTCTTAGCATTATTTTGAAATTTTATGTTTATTAATATTTATAATATATATAATTCTTTCCATTTTTGCAGAGTGGAATTTCGCATTAAACCATCGGCAAGCCGAGGAGTGAATAACTATCATCCACTCGATGAGGAGTTACTTTCACCGCCCGTCGACGATCTAGCTTCACGTTTCGAAGAGTACGGCACAACACCGCCGCGTACAAGAATGAAAATTAAAAGCCGTGATTGGGAGCGCAAAAAAGCGCATGCCGTCGCCTCTGTTGGAGCGTACGTAGTCTCCGCGAAAAATACACTTTTAATGCACTCCTATTTATGCATAGTTTCCACGTTTTAAGTTCTGTATATTTATAGATCAATTGATTCGACGCCGAGCACACCCAAAAAGGGCATGACCCGTATGGCGCGTTCCCGCGTGCTGCGGCGCAACACTATGGATTGTGCATTGCTGAATGAAATGTTTGTTAATGATGAGAGCAAACGTACCAGCAAGCGTGCGCAGGATTTGCTGCGTGATGCCGAACGGGAACTTAAAAATTCTATGATATCCGCTACTTCCACCAGCTACTCCTCACGTGGTTCCAGCTTACTCGACAGCACGCACCAACTGGAATCATTAGATAAGTGTACGCCCTTGAATACGGAAGTGAGCGTGCGTGGCTCTTCGAAGGTGGTCGAATCCTGCAATAGATACATGTGTGTCTCCTCACGGCCGATAGGTTTTCGTGCGTCGGCTCCAGCATCCGCATTTGTCCAACAGTTGCGTTGTGAACGTACACCTGGCTTGAATATACGTAAAGAATTTCATGAGACTTTTGCCAATCTCATTAAGTTGGGCAGTGTCGACCGTCAAGATGCCAAGGTAAAGAATTTTTGAGTTTTGTAAGTATATGTATATAGGTTAGGTTGCTAAGAATTTAGAGAGTTAATGGCGCGATAACGGTCGCATTTGATGGTTACGTTCTCATCGGTATCATTTTTGAAGAAATATGGACCGATGAACCCACCGGTTGACAAACCACACCAAACCAAATCTTGAATCTCTTGAGGTTGCTCTTCGTTCTAAATGCGGTAAATTTGCTTGTTCACATACCGATTGAGCCAAAAATAGGTCTCATCGCTGAACAACATTTGGCTTGAAAACGTCGGATCTTCTTGGAACTTTTCCAGAGCCCATAAATTGAAGTGATGTCGCTTGGGAGGTCAAGCAGCTTCAGTTCTTGCAGAAGAAATATTTTGTTCGTTTTTAATTTAAGATCTCGACATCGGCGACATTCCTTACAGAACGTGAATTTTCGCAAGTTGCTGAAATCTCGACATGGATCACCCGTTATAAATTATCCGTCGGTTTTATATATATTTTGAGATATCGTACAGATATTTGGCACACATCGTTTTCTCCCCATGAAACTTTGTCATTTGTTGGAACCGCAGTTATTGGGTCACTATAGGATATAGCTATCATACAAACTGAACGATCCAACCCAAGGGCTTGTATGAAAAAATGTTTAGTCGGAGAGATAACTTCACGCTTATTTGACATGGATTATTGGCCAGACAATCTTCGTACAAACAGTTTATTTCGGAACATTATAGCCATAAAAACTGACCGATCAAAATCAAGATACATATCTTATTTACCATTTTACGCTATAAGAAAAAACCTGTGAAGATTATAAAAGTTATTTTTTTCTGTTTCTGTCATCTTTCGTTATAATGGTTATCTTACCATGGTTATTTGGTTTAGCTTTCCCACGAAGACCAGACCTGGCAAGCTGAACTGAAAGATCTCATTTGGCTAGAGTTGCAGGCGTGGCAGGCCGATCGCACCATGGAGCAGCAAGACAAATATTTATTCAACGCCCGACAAGCTGTGCCGGAATTGCTTTCACAAATCATAAACTACAAATTTCAGCCGCGCTATCAACGCGCCTCGAGTGAAGTGAGCGTGGACAGCGGTTTCAGCACGGATAGCAATGCAAGTTGTAAGAAAATATTTGATATGCGCTTTGATGATTGAGTATAGTTTATCAAACCACATATTTGTTGCATGGCTTACAGCACCTACAGCACACCAAACTGGCAAACTATGCACTGGTTGCATGTCTTTATATTGTAAGGATTGTATGGATCAGCGGGATAACGCCATGAAAGAAGTGGAGGACCTCTTGACACGCTTAGAAGCCGCTGAGGCGCTCTATCCCTCCTCACAAGTCATGGGTGCATTTCATCCCATTTATAAAAATGAAAACTTTGTGGGCCGAATAAAAGCCATGTGCTTGTGGTATAATGTAACGCGTCAGAATCGTTTAAAACTGTGCATCTTCGGAAAAATATTGGCAAGGTATTATACGAATACGAAGACGAATACTTTATTGAAATTGCTAAACTGCGTGTTATTTTTATTGCAGGTTACATGGCGAGAAATTCTCTTGGCCGGTGGAAACATGGTATGGCAGCGATAGCGGTGCTTCTTCTGGTGTGGAGAACGATGATTCAGGTGTGAATTCGGTTGATTCCAACAAGACAAGTTCTAGTCAAGCAACACCGCAACGTAAGCTCTCGTCTATTTTTTCGGCGCCTAAGGTGCAGTTCATGCTGAACGATGTGACGCAAGTGCCTGGTGAAACTTCCAGTAGCAATGAGTAGGTCTCGCATATGTGTGAGGTAGGCCACAAGTTTCTAAAGTTGTACATTTTCTCGGTTTCAGCTCTACCTCAACTGAAGTTAGCCATATGTCATCGGAGATAAGTGGACCGCTTTTGCGTAAAACTTCAATGCAAGACATCAATATATTTAGCGTTGAACCTTTAGCCAATTGCAATGATGCTAATTCCTCGGCGCTATATAGGTGTGAATACTTATAAATTTCAAGGTTATGCTAGTACAATATAACTGTAAATTTTGTTTTTTACTTGCTTTTAGAAAGTTTATTGAAAACATCTTAAAGTCTCGTGGCCTCGCAAAGGCATTGTCGTTTTTAAATAAATTGCACAATGTTGTGCTGTTCAAAGCGCATATTTCGCTGGAGAAGCCCGGCACCGAAGATTATGACTTCGAGACTGAGCGCATCGATGAAGATGTGCCGCGTTTGGAACCGGAAATAAGTCGCGAACAAGTGGATGAATTGCGACGCTTTGGCTATTGGAGTGACGAGGCAAAATCCATTAACTTGCCTTCATACATTCCCTCCTTTGTATTTCTAAGCGGCATACCGTTACAATTTATGCACGAGTTTCTGAGAATGCGTCTCGAGACACGCCCACCGAAACCGAATCCACTTAGCTTAGAGCAACTCATGAAGGAATTACGCGAAGGTTTGACACTGGCATTGACACATCGGGAACGCTACCAGCGACACATAACGACAGCTTTGGTTGAGAACGAAGAAGAATTGGAACGGTATATGGGAATATTAAATCATTTCGACAAAACTGTACGAAAAGTGTTTGAGGTAAAGTCTTATTGCAGTATTCCCAATTTTCATTTGTTAAATATTTAGTATAAATTTGTGAAATTTTAGTTGTACTTAGATTATATCGACCAGTTGGTGTTGTCTGGCGCGGAGTGTAACACGAAGTCTGCTTTGGAAAAGGAATGGATGTTCACCAAACTGATCAGTCCCATGATAAATGGCATGCACACAATTGCAGCTAAAAAGTTTTGCACCATAACACGCAACTTACTGCGTAGCATATCCGAGCGTTTGGTGAGTCGGGCGGCGGAACTAGACATACAAATCGACGACACGGCACAGCATGGCGAAATCGATTTGAAGTGGCAGCTTTTAACAATTTGTCGCGAGATGCAATCTCTCTTCACTGTGGAACGTGAGTCCTCGGTGAAGGTGCTGTTCTTTGCGAAAATGTTTTGTCGCGATGTCGAGACCACCGACTTTCATCGTGAACACTACGAAGCCGATGTGATTAATCAACAGCAGGACTTTGTTTGTGCGGAAATAAAGAAATCCTTCAAACTATTGCAAAAGGATGTGCTTGATGTGCGCAATAAATTGTCGAAAATAATCGAGCGTGTCATGGAGCGTTGTGGACCCGAACACATGTCCGAATTAGATGATCAGGATAGGCAAGCGGTACTTTCGCGAACGCGTGAAATTTTACATCAGGGCTATAAATTCGGTTTTGAGTACAATAAAGATGTGATTCGGTTGTTCGAACAGCGTATAATGGCAAACAAAGACGAATCGTGTGAGGTCGACTTAGCGCTGGGTATTATTGATTTTGCCAAAATGTGGATGCATTTCGTGATGGAACGTTGCGAACGTGGGCGTGGTATGCGTCCACGTTGGGCATCACAGGGTTTAGAGTTTCTTATACTTGCCTGTGATCCGCAAATAACCCGTCATCTAGACGAACGACAGTTTGAGGATCTAAAGAAGCAGATGGATCGTTGTATATCACATGTGATTGGTATTACTTCGGAACCGGAAAAGATCGCGCGTAAAAAGGCATCGCCACGCACGCGAAAAACATCCTCACCGGCCACAAGTCGGTCGCGGACTCCGACACGTACGCCAATATCCGTAGGCGGCGGCACAAATCCGAATTCTCCAATGAGTTCGCCGCAGTACAATAAATTCTTACATCCGCAATTCAGCTTGAAAGAGGAAGTGTTGCGCAATGCCGCGGACGGTACACCAGAATACAGCGTCAACGAGGCTCCCGACGTGCCGGATACTAGTGGTAGCGGAACGGAAAGACTTGGTGAATTACGCTTAATTGTGCCACAATCTTCACCTTTAACAAAATCGTCACATGAAGGCAGTAGCTCATCGCTGGCGCCACGTCAGATGCGTGTGCGAGACGCTGTGAACCGTTTGGATATGGAAATTGAAGATAATCTGCGTGAACGCAATTTAATTGGTCATGTCAAAGCACTGAATACATGCGACAAGGTTCAGATACGTGCACGTAGCGTTAATTTCCATTGGCATCGTGGCATTAAAGTGAGTTACCGTTGAAAAGTGAAGACTCTTCATGTATATTATTGAATAAAATATGTAAATTCTTGTTTGCAGATTGGCCAAGGCCGTTTTGGTAAAGTTTACACAGCTGTTAACAATAATACCGGTGAACTAATGGCCATGAAAGAGATTGCCATACAGCCCGGAGAAACGCGTGCGCTCAAAAACGTCGCCGAGGAGTTAAAAATCCTGGAGGGTATCAAACATAAGAATTTGGTGCGCTACTATGGCATCGAGGTGCATCGGGTAAGCATCCAACTGATTCAGGCATATTTTATATTTACGACTTAGCATATCCGACTCTTTTTTTGTTGTCATTGAGGGTGTATTCTTTACGCGGCGGGTCCTAAACTCAGTGCACAACCCTGGGGAGGAATGTTTTGCCTTTTTTCACTTTAGCTTGCTTTTAAACGGATGTTTTTTGACTATTCAGAGGACACTTGGTCTAAGACCGGAAGTCGTGAGCTGCTTGAGCCATATGCAAAATAATCGTTTCTGGTCACTTCCAAATGAATGGTGCTCAGAGAACTTTCTTCACTTGCGTGAACTTCTATACATGACTTCATCCTCCTTCGCTACGTCAATAAAGAAGAAGAAGACTTTTCATATATATATAGTATTTACAATAACTTATTGCTAATTAATTATACACTCACAAATACTGAGAATTAACTAATTATTATTATTATTTTTTTCCTCATTCAACAGGAAGAACTTTTAATTTTCATGGAACTCTGTTCCGAGGGAACTTTAGAAGCATTGGTGGAGCTATCAGGCGGCTTGCCAGAAGGCCTGGTTCGTCGCTTTACGGTGCAACTGCTTTCGGGTGTTGCCGAGCTACATAGACACGGCATCGTGCATCGTGATATAAAGACTGCGAATATATTTTTGGTGGACGGCAGTAACAGTCTAAAACTGGGCGATTTTGGCTCAGCAGTTAAAATCCAGGCACATACGACTGTACCGGGCGAACTTCAAGGCTATGTGGGCACACAAGGTAAGTGATATTATGCATGCATATGGTTAGCATGTACACGAATACTTAATACGGTATTTATTTCCAACAGCTTATATGGCTCCAGAGATATTCACAAAAACGAATAGTGACGGACACGGTCGTGCAGCGGACATTTGGTCGGTGGGTTGTGTGGTGGTTGAAATGGCATCGGGACAAGTAAGTGATTTTATGAAAATGTAAAGACTGTTGTAATAATAATAATTGGGCTTCCATCTGACAACAGCGTCCTTGGGCACAATTTGACTCGAATTTCCAAATTATGTTCAAAGTGGGTATGGGTGAAAAACCGGAAGCGCCTGAGAGTCTCTCACAAGAGGGACATGATTTCGTAGACAAATGTTTGCAACATGATCCCAAAGATCGTATGACCGCTATAGAATTACTGGAACAAAACTTTTGCAAGGTACACAATACTCAAAACTTTTTTGTTGAGATAATTTTAATTTATGTCTTTTTTTATACGATTTTTGCAGTATGGTCATGGTGATGAATTGAATAACGACCAAACGCAAGAGGCGCTGGGACGTTCATTCCGGCGCAATGTTAAATTGAGATAGCGCGTGTTGTGATTGTCATCGCTAAATAATATGTTAAGAAAGGAGTACGTATTGAATTGTATAGCACAGTAGACATGCCTCTGTTTTAACAATGTTTGTTATATATAGCATAAACGAAATGAGTGTATACCAATTATTAAATCTATGAACAGAATATATCGATACAATTGCATATGTAGTATATGTTATATATGTGTCTTTATATACATAATATTTATTTTAAATTTTAGCTAATAGAATTTGAACAACGTTCTGAAAAGCGCTTAGAGTCATAGGCATTAAATTAAATGATAGTAAGTGTGTATATTTCGATATATGTATGTATGTATATGTGACAAATTCCACATGTTTATTTTATTCAAATATACTTGTAATAGCTAAGCCTAAAACAAAAATTATTTATTCTTTGAATAGTTGTGATTGTTAATATCCAAGGTTTCTTTGTATTGCGGAAACTGTGCGCAATAAACCTTGGTTCGTTGTTGTTGTTGAGACGGTTATCCAGTTTCGTTAGAGTGGTAAGGTTCAGATGATATGTATGTGTTCGAGCTCATCCAACGGTAGGCTCAGGAAACGCGCTGTTTCGACTGGGCCGTACCATAGGGAGAGGAGTGTTAGATGAGTAGGATTAGCTGGAGATGCAATTATTTGGTTAGAGTCATGCGTCATGGACGCGTTACAAGCTGAATTTGATATGTCGGAGAACGAAGATGCGAAAGGGTCGCTTTGGATTTTCGCAGTAACTCGAGTTTGTCGCCAGCAATGGGCTGTGGTTTGACTCCAAGTACGCCATTGACCGAGAGGGAGTCGATGGAGGTGTTTATGGCTCCACTGTGAATGGCGGTCTTATGTCTCTGCGTGTTGTCTTATGTCGTCGACGTAGTTAGGGAAGGACGTCTTGATGTTCCTAGGTGGCGTTTCCGCATCAAACAGGGGACTGCAGGAATGATTTCTACGAAAACATCACAGCAGCAACTGCTTGGAGAGCAGTTCGTTATGCTTCTTAACGATGCCAACAACGTTGCATTATATTTTCCTCATGCCCTGCCAGCTAGCGACTTGCAGCTTTGTACTTTGGCAATAATGGAGGTCGTGTGAGGAGTGAAGGAGCACAGGCTGTCGAGTGAAACTTATTGTTATTGACAGTTGGAATTTTAACGCCGTCGGCTGCAATATTAAGGTCAAGTCGGTACTCCTTCGTACAGTTTGTGAATATGGTCACTGTGGGTTTAGTGGGAAAAGTGTTAGGTTCCATGCAGCGAGGAGGAGAAAAAGGTTGGAGAGATAGTTGTTGACTAACCCCGTTTGGATCGGTAAGTTTTAGATGAAGTTTGTCAGCAAGATATTTCGTCTTGCCCTCGTTCACTACCAGACTCCTCAGTACTGACGGCGCGGTTGCTGAGGCAACGATATCAATATCATCGGTAAAAACAGGTGACATTCAGTTTTGGACAACACTTATTGTCGACAAATTTTTAGAAATAAAATTTTAATAATACTTTATTATTGCAGAGTTAATAACATAACCAAATTATTAAAAAAAAAAATAACGCATTTGCGATCCAAAATGTATTATCAGTACAGAAGTGCTCTTTTTTATTTAATTTGTTTTTCTCCGGACATTTTTTTACATCATTGTATTTAGTGCAAATACTGTAAATTGTCGAGACAAAATTTTGTGAAGATATTGCTTTTTATGCTTTGGCGGTGGTGCCATACAGTGCAGACACGGTTGAAGTTGGTGCAGGTGCGGGAGTTACGAAGACGCTTGGTGGACCGTCGTCAGTGTTTGCGCTGTCCAAAGTTGGCGCAGTAGGTTGCTCCGTGGGTGCGGTGGGACCGGTATAAGTTTGAGCAAAAACGGACGATGCCAACAATAAAAGGGCTAGCATAACGCTAAAAAGTACTTGGAATGCTATCAAAAAAAGATGATGAGAAAGTGAAGTAATAATGTACTCTTAATAGCTTTCAATCAATTTACCTTTCATTTTGGATGAGTTTGGCGTTCGCAGATGATTGGGATACAATTTCGTTCAGTATGATTCGTGGAATACATGCCTTAAAGGCTTTACGTGCCTTTTTATACCCAAATATTAAATAATTTATCTAATATGAGAAATTCGTGGGAAATATCTGATTGCCGATAAAGTTTTAATTAAACAGTAGACCGTTTGGTAGGCGCCAAATATTGACATAGATATATTTTCCCGTTTTAATTCAATGAATTTAACACTGATTAAACGTATTTATTCATATATAGTATCTACATAGTAATGTCACATAAAATCTTTTTATTTATTTTATTTAAAAATTGAGATTTATTGTGCGTCGTTATGGTTTCAATGAATCCGAATTGGTATACATATTTCTTGAATTACATATAAATCGCACAAATAATTACTTTGGAAAAGTAAGAAGTGGCTAAAGTTGGGTGTAGCCGGACGCTATACCATATACTTTTGCTATTCTTAAGAATTAATGGCATGTCTGATATTTCCGTCTATCCGCCAGACTGGATTATAAAGAATGTTTCTAAGCGATATGTGTACGAGTATATGTATGGTATATTTTAATAGTCAAACGACGTTTGGTTGGCGTGTCACATAAGCGTTAGATGTACTGAATCATTCCACTTTGTGCGGCATGTTGCGAGAGTATAAAAATTAAGAGATGTATTGAGATGTTGCTGCACCAGTGAATGACTTCGATCTATATCTTCCACTTTTCTCCTAAATATGTATGTATATTCATTCATGGCTTAGTGGGTTAGCGTTATAATTGTGACAGACATATGGTAACAACACCACACAACGAACGAATACCAGATGTGTTCCACCAAATACCAGCATTTTACCAACAGAGTCATGTAGTATTTCCCTTCATTGTAAAGGGTGATCCATTTCTAAGTTCTTATTTTTTTTTTTTAAAGAATATTCAAATTTAATCGGAAATCTTTATTATCAATGGAAAGAACATTCTTTGGCATTTATTTCAAGAATATTATCTCTTTCAAAGGTTGGCCGCGGCTACGTCTCAGATGGTCAATCCATTGAGTCCAATTTTCAATGAGTCGTTGAAGCATTTCGACTGGTATCTGGTGTATGACTCGAGTGTTATTTGACTCGTTGAAGCATTTTCTCCAAGGCCTGAATCGAAGCGGGATTGTCTGCAGAAACTTTAGTCTTTACATATTCCCACAGGAAATAGTCTAATGATGTGATATCATACGATCTTGGTGGCCAATCGACCGGCCCAAAACAAGAAATAAATTCATTGATGCGATGTGGTATCGTCTTGTAGAAACCAAATGCCGTCGAAATTACGAGACACAATTTCAGGCACCAAATAGTCAGTTTTCATTGCGCGATAACGGATACGTTCTCACCGGCGTCATTTTTGAAGAGGTATGGACGGATGATTCCACCGGCTCACAAACCATACCAAACCGTATTTTTTTCTGGATGAAATGGTAGAATCTTGAATCTATTCAGGTTGCTCTTCGTCCCAATTGTGCTTATTTTGCTTGTTTACATACCGGTTTAGCCAGAATTGAGCGTCATCGCTGAACAAAATTTGATTCGAAAATGTCGGATTTTCTTGGAACTTTTCAATAGCCCTTAGAGCGAAGCGTTGTCGCTTGGGAAGGTTTTAGTGCTCGCATAAGCTGCATTTTGTACACTTTAAGTTTAAGATTTCGACTTAGAATGCAACAAGTCATTCCATACGTCAGTCCGAGTTGCTGCTAACGGCGTCGAATCGACCTCTCCAAGGTCTTCGTGTCATGGTCTATTCGGTCGAATATTATATAATATGAATGCTATGTCCCAGATGGGTGATGGTCTGGTGACTAGTACGCTCACTAAGCCGATTATGTTGATCATAAGTTAAGCGAAGCGTGCGAAACAGTCCGTTATTTCATTGTAGTATTCCAGGAACACAGCTTTTAGAGTGTCTTAAAAAATTAATTGGGGGGTTGCTGGTTTGTTATTATTATATTAATATGACTTAATATGACTTGGTATCCACAATAGATGATATCGGCTCATCATGCTACATAAAATATGTTAGATAACAAATACATAACACAATTCGAGGTACCAAGTGCAGACAGGTTCTTCTCCCCCTGATTTCTCCAACGCAGTGGAGGCCTTCCTCTTTCTCTGCTTCCAGCGGTAGGTACTGAATCGGAAACAAGTTGGACAAACAACTCTAAACAATTCTCCCTAAATTTCCATAATATTTTTTTTCGAACATAGCCACTTTTGAAAACCCTTTTTTTGAGATGGCCGTCGTGGATAGCTAAGCAGCAATATTTGCTTTAAGCTCACTGAAAGTGTGTTCAAGCCTAGAAGGAATTTGATCACTAGTATCCAGCTACTTTTTTATTCGAGCGCCTAGTCATAGCGGAATCGCTGGAAACTTCAAAGCTGGTGTGCTTGCTAGCGATCGCATTCTTGTTCTGACTATACACTCTTTAATAAGTTTACATGTCGTGATACTAAATATTTAGTCCGATGATAAAAGACAAAAATGTACAGGTTTTTCCATACTGAGGTAGAAACGTCTCGGTAGACATACCTTCTGCGAACCTAATGCGGCATCAATTAGTTAATGCTTTGAGATTGATAATAGCTTCGTAAGGTACTAATTAAGGTCTGGTGTTCTATATACTATATATGAGTTTTGGGGATTACAGGAGATCAGCTTTCACAGCGTTTCAAGTGGGATCCTTGGTTACTATTGGTGCTAAGACACTTTCAAAATCGCAATAAAAACAAATATTACTGTTTTGTAGATATATATTTTATTTAGGTTACACAAAACACTTTCATATATGTAAATATGTATTTATATAAGTAAATTTTAGTGAAACATAACAAATCAAATGGAAATGTGTGCAACATGATACAATACATAATAACATCACTGCCATACATTTTTATTGATAGTATACCGTGCCTTGCACACGCATTAAAAATTTAGAAATAATATTAACTTGTAGTACATTTAAACTTTCAACGCTTAACAAATTAACTCAATAATATAGCACAGTTGTTAGTAATAGTTTCGATTAGTTTTTCACAATTTTTACTAAGTAAAGCAGTAACAAAGAACACAATAACAAAGAGGTTCCTTTAGTCATTTCCTACATTTTTCCCGTTTTGTACACATACGCATTCATATGTATGTAAATAAATTAGCATTTATACGATTTAATTTATTGTTTGTATATATGCCTTTATTATAATTGTTATAATCAAAGTATATAATTATATTTTTATATACTATATATAGTATTTTCTATATAAACTAAATTTTAATTTATATGCTTATAAATT